AATCAGGGCTGAACAAAAACGGGTACTGGTGACTAACATCGGTTTCTCGCTGACGTGTGCATGAAACGAGAGTGGTTAGAATTAACAAAGCAAGAGACTGGTTTAATTCTGGCTATTTCCCAGCTGTCGGAGCTGATACCGGTCGTTAAACATAGGTTGAAAATCTCTATCAGACGTGACTAATGAATCCCCACACACTTTCCGAGTGATTGGTGACAGAACATGAGTGCCAATACCCTTGTGTGGGTTCAGCATAGTGAGTTCCTTGTAAACAGTGGTGTGGTAAACAAAGTGGGATGACCAGTGATGAGGAAGGGGAGGCAGATGATGTAGCAAACGATGAGGAGCTGAAATATGCATTCAACTTGTTCATATCGGTGGTAGGGGGCGGGTTATAAGAATGTCATAGATCACGGCAACTGTAACTTACGAAAAGGGCTTCAAAGTGAAGACTAGCTTTTCAATCTTGATGTTTATAGTCAAGGACGTTTGACACTGGTCGCTGGTTTGGATGTGTAAGCCTGTTTTGTCTTCCACCTCAGTTGATTGAGTAGTGGCAACGAAAATTTATAGATCCCCAAATAGATGGTATTAATGAGGCAATGAGATTAGAAACATAAATAAATATGGCCTCTAGTGTGCTAGCATTGAGCTGACAATTCGTCATTTGCGAGAATGGTGAAATCGATTGAATAAAAGGTCAAGTTGAGCTATGCGATGTTTTGCATTGAACAGTTTTGTCCGTGTAAGAGTACTGAGTGGCCATGGCCATTGCAAAGTAGTTGGTGATACAATAAGTTTTGGAACATGTCTTCACGATGCCGTTGTTGGAATTATCAAAGGGGGCATGTCCCCGTATAGACATGTATTATTTTAAATAAAAACGAATTCCAGATATGCGTCAAGTCTGGTTGGGAATTTCGCCAAATGGGTGTCACTGTTATTGAAAGCACAGGCGACGACACAGATGGAGCAGTCTGAATTAGGCTGTAACTCAGAAACACGATGATTTACAAACTTCAATTCACGAGAATGTTGAGTCACGCGTTACCTAACCGTTCCCAAATACGACAGAAAACAGGTAAGAAACTCTTTTTTTGCATTCCGACAGATAATAGCACAATGAAGCTGCTGAGTAAGTGGATAGCTGGGAAACCGACTTCAGTCTTCGCTAATTTAAGTGAACACTCCTCCGATCTCCTGAGCATTCGTATTTAATATGGTGATAGCCAATGAGTTTAACGATGCCGTCTACAATGCAAGAAAGTGACCAAGCTTTCTGTAACATCACTATATATGTAAACCGCTCGTGATCGCACACTTTTGAACAAGATCAGCGGTGTGTGCGTTGTTAACAGGACAGTTCTCGAGTCCAAAATGTCAACCAGTACGGTGCCTTTGGTACTGCTCTAAATTTTTACTTTAATTATTTCAATTTAATTGCCGGATTTGTGACGGTGGTCAAATTAAACAGGGTGATTTTTGTACAACTTTCGCCGAAAATCAAACGAGCAATACACCACTGAGAGGCTTAAAATTGGTTCACAAAAAATAAAATAATTTGTAGAAACAATAAGACTCCGTAAGGGTAGTACAGAACGGTGTTCTAATGACAACGGAAACGGTTTTTCTCCCAGGAATTCCAGATAAGTGCGACAAAAAATATACATTGATCGACGGGCGTACAATTCCATTATCTAAAACACTGGGGTCGACACAGAAACACAAAGAGAATCCATTAACTAACTCGTGCAGTCTCAATCGACTAGATACAAATCGAGTAGATATGTCGTTCGGTTGTTCAAATTATCTTGGAAACTACCGTATGCTATGTTAGCAACCGCGGGATTATTCACATTTGGAAACGTAGCATCACCATACCTATCCAAGCCCACAATCTCTAGTGAAACTAACCTGCCGTTCTTTATTCTCAAGCATTAAACATTGCTGACGTAGTTCATCAGCTCGTTGCACAATTCAATCCCCACGGGTACGCCAGTAACTACACGGCTAAGCTTTGATGTTTTCGCTCACTGGTGCACGTGGGGAAATTAGCCGTGAATACCACATAGTACGTCATTTCGATTCCCGGAGACACAGTTGCATCTGCCGTTACGTAGTATTGACACTTCACTGCCACACGACCATCATTTGGAGCTTGCTGGCCAGGGGCAGTGCGATGTCGCCCTCACCTAAGTAGATTTAAGTCTGAGAGCTGCCGATTACAAGCAGATGTATCACCCAACCCGCCACAATAGGAGGAATAGTTGGCCCTCTGACCGAACATTTTAAGCGCAGACCTGAGCATAGTCTAGGTGTTATGAATTGCATTATCCAATGCATACGCATAGCAAGAGGTACTTGGTTCAGGCACTATACTCATGATGCAATTGACCTGCGATCCTCGCAAATTTACGGAGAAACAGACAACAGCGAGGCCCAAAGCACTTGGCCCATACGGCAACCTAGAAAACGATTGACATCGAGTTGCCTTGCAAGGGTAAATTTCCTGTGTCGAAAACCCCGAAACGTCCAGTCTCTGCTACACAAAGAAGTTACAGCGCTGTTCAAGTTGTGGTCAACAACAGAACTTGTAACTTGCCGGTGCATCTAACGAAGGAAGCCCAACCAATCAGCGTCAACTCGCACTGCGTATACAAACTCGTGTCCAATTGCGGAGCCAGTTACATAGGCAGAAACGATCGGTCTTTGACTTTACTAATAAGAGAATAAGTGTCAAGGCGGGTTCAATGTGAAAGTAACCAGAATCCCTGCCTCACTGAAGTTCCGTGCTCCCGCAGGCCGCCAACTTCCTCAATAGGCAAACACCTACTGGTCACGCGTCACCGAATAGAGTTTGGATCAGCGATCACATTTGACTTACGTCACCTTAATCCGCGCTGCCTTCGTTACGCCGAGGCTTCCGGATGAAGCCGGCACAGCGTATAAAATGAAATGGTTGTCAGCTTAACACTGCCATGAAGGTGGATCTTCCTTCATTCATTTTGTACCGTAGGCTTAGTTGGTCACACACATAGTTGACGGCATCCGTTTCCGGATTTGCCTGTCACTGCGGCATCCATAGGATGCCTGCGCCTACAGAGGGACCATGGGTGGCTTGCGCTGCACCGCCTATACACCTCATATCTTGTGTAAATCCGAAGGAATAAGACCGGAAGGCATGCGGATAGGGGCCACGTTTCATCAACGAAGCTGGCCCGCACTCCATCACAGACAAACACAAGCACACTGTATTTGGGGAATCAAACGCACACAAGGCGGTGGCTGGACCGTAGTCCGCTCCACACTGAGTGCATGGAACCACTCTTCGAGCCTAACACGGCCACAAGGACCGTGCACCCCGTCCCCTCCAGCAACGACCAACTGTCTCCTGGAGCCAGTATGGACGAGGTAGTGGGTAATAGCAGGTAGGCACCTTGTCAACATGCACATCAAGCGCAGCCACACCGGGGATATCAAGCAACAGCCAATCACTTGAAATAACACTATCAAATAAAATGTATATTTTAAAGCATACAGCTATGCAGACATAACTCTTCGCTACATTACCATATGAAGTAAGTTGGTTAACAACCAATCCGCAATAAGTACAAAATGTCCAGAAGTTACACAAAAAAGCTACAAACGCAATAAAGTTAACGAAGATAACCACAATTAGTGTAAGCAACGTGTTTAAGTTAATAGAAGATTATTCAGGTAGCCAGAACAAACCAGATAAAATGCAATGGATTTTATCCACGTTAAAAGACCTAGTTTAAGTGTAAGTGGGTTTAGTCCAATTGCGGTGAAGAAGCATCATGTATGCAACATCAGCCTCAGCACGGGGCAAGGCCACACATATGAGTAAGTACATACTTACATACCAGTTATTGTTAGTGATACGGGGGAGACAAAACGGAAGGTATGCATCTACCAGCTTGTGTGTTTGTACCGCGCTTTTCAAATAACGGTTATTGCCTGCAATAGCTAAACGATGAGAACAAATAAGCTCGAAAAAGGTCGCGGAGTGCAAAGTTTTCGGGCCGCCGACATCCCAATGTCTACCTGCTTCATCGGTAACGATCCCAGTGATCGAATCGACAAAAGTTCACTTTAATGCGAATCACGGACAGCATGGAACGTACGCTTCGCATTTCATTCGCACAACTGGTGCTTAGAAGTGACGCACCGATCAGGCATCAGCCGTTGTGACAAGCGTCACTCGTCGGCGCAGGAAGACGTCCTTACCAGGATTGTGTTCATGCACAGGAAAGCAACGCAAGAAACCGCCCAGGTTGATGGTGGCAAGAAAAACGATCAATGCTTACTGGGAAAAAGACGCCAAGGTTCGTCGCAAATGTGGAGGAAGCAACAAAGGGAAACGGACTTCAGACTTCCTGCATAATATCGAAAAGAACACTGAACGATCTTCGGAGGAGAGTTTGTTGCTGGAACGAGATCTATCTGGCCCGCAGGAAATGGAAGATTACGCTCATTCAAGAGGACGTTGGAGCGTTAACATAGCACAACTGCACGAATTACATCCTCAGTGAGGAACCTGATGCCAGAAGTATCGGGAGAGCTTTTTATCAGATGCCTATCTTTGACCTTGTTAGTGTTTACTTCTTTAACGAAGTGCTTATGCTCAGTGCAAAAATCTATCCCAGTTTGATTCAAAAAGCGTCTTACGTGGCCTGAAAGTTGGACAGCATGAATTGCAAAACGTTCTAGGTTGTTTGAGTAATGTGAAAAAGATACGGAAATAATAGTCCCATAGTCAATGGCATCCGTCAAACAATCCAAACACAAATACGCAATAAGAGAGCCACTTAGGTTGGTGGTGAAATGTTTATAATCTAACTGACCAACTCGGAGATCTAATCGACACGCAAACATCCAGATAGACTTGTATAACGCCCAGTGTCGGTGGATTGGAGGGGTGAGACTTAGTGTTTAACAAGCGTGTCGTGCCTGAAATGATGGTAGCAAAGAGTACTTACTGGACTCGTCCAAATTTCAGCCGTTTCGCTTTCAGTCAGCCAATAAGCAGTTGTCGGAGGGGGGCCTAGCGACGAGAGAGGGCGAACGCTGCTCATACAAACTTTGGGTCGTTCACTGCGACCTCCAGAGGTTCGTCGGTGACGATCGCGCATTTCCGTTCGTCTAAGTACAGGTGCATTTGAACAAGAATCAGGTGAGATTGAGATCAATCTGGAAGGAATGGGCAATGGATTGGCGTCCTCGTAAAGCAAAATATCCGATGCGCAGCCAGGCAACATAGATGCGTCGGTGGATGATTCCTGTCTAGCGCCATGAACACTCTCCGCTTCACTGTCCTCATCAAAGTTTCCGTCCACCTTGTGTAGAGTGAACGAGTAGGACAGGTGAATGATCTCGATCGATTAGACATCATGATATGAATAAAAATAGTTGGAGGGCGACGGAGAAAATAACGCGCAGAGAAAAGTAATTGGTAATAATTCAGCCGATGGAGGCTAGCAATAATGAACTTGTAAACCGGTAAAAAATGCATACCGAATACAGTAAAACTAAGTGTGACTTATGTACTTAAACGTTAAACTGTAAGAATAAACCAATTTGGTAGACTTGAATGGAACGAACAATATTGCGTCTACCTGTGGGAAGGCTGGTCGATCAAGCGAGCCAGTTTTATAATTATCCAACGAAAAGGTTAATGCAGACTGCACGCGTGATGAAACCTTCGAAAGTTCAGGTGAATCATGTGTCTGAGCCAATTGGTTGATTGAGTCAGAACTTGCAGTAGCACGACGACAACTGGCGACCAGCGTGGCCATCCGATCCATTAGCGTGTCTTTGGCTAGAGATCGTAGCCGCTCAGCGCCGTTGAGGTTATCAGTTTTAGCGGACGACTCTCCCGAATCAACTGAATTAGAGGTGGCCGCCATCCGCTGGTTCTGCTCATTTTGACAAACGGTACAATTGACGATATACTTGTTCAATCTTCCGGTAGGAAGACGCGCAATCCACTCGTATTCGTCGGCTGTAGGAAGGATGGAATTGGCATTTGAATGCGGGGATACAAGCGATGCAAAACAAGAAGTCCGGAAAAGTAATGCTGGAATACACATGAAAACGGAAGCAAATAACGTCAAAAGCGTATGACTGGTGGTGTGGGTAAAAAAGAAATAGCCGGTGTGCGGAAACCTAGAACAATCTCACTCAAGGTGTAAAAATACAAGCATTATGATTCTTCACCTAAAGTTGATACTGGGATAAGAAAAGCCTTGGATAGAAGAAAAGGCAGGACGTAGGATGATCAGAGACGTATGAATTAGTGATAAATCGCACCGAGCATCAGCAGTCGAATGAAGGCTTAGAGAAACGTATTAAACACTGGATGATTTGAGCGAGCCTATTAATAAATCATCGTACGCATGTAATTAAGGCCCACACCGAATCGTTGCCTAAACTAGACTTGTTATGAGAAAAACTTTACGTACTCCACTAGTGGCGGCAATCGTGATACAAGGCTAGTCGTGAGTGATCTCGGACGCATAAGTAGCAGTAGATATTTACATTGCCGAAAGACTGAACCTTAAGGAGCTGCGATGTTAGTGGCACAGTGAATCGTTGGGCCACGTTGAGTACGGTTTCAGAACAACCACAAAGCAAGTTCAGGCCAGACGCGTAGACAGACGAGTAAAGGTTAAAAGAGATCACAACGAGGACTGAAAAATGGTCGTCGGTCTCTGACCGGACGCAGTATCATCATCATCATCATCAGTATATGCGTTAGCTGCAGGTGGAAAATACCTCAGCTATTGTGCGGCAATACAAAAGACAAGAAAAGGAAAACAAACAGTGGCACGCCCGATAAATTCAAAGTAACGAATGGACATCGTTCCGGAGAGCTAACAGCAGGCTATCGTGCCGTAAAAAGAGAGTTATATTATACCTAACGAGTGAGATCGTGATTGGAGAGGGATGCTAAGCAGGATGGGGATGGACAAAGGAACTCACAACATAAACGACAATGGGGCCGGCTCTAAGCCATATCAGCAAGTGTGTCCAACCAAACGTGTTCACCATCCTTAGGACCCCAGCCCGGCAACTGAGAGGCACAAACCGACGCCAACTTCGAAGTGAGGGTTTTCATCTCTCTCGACCAAGTCATCGCTTGGCCTCCACTCCTCCTCTTCCAACCGCACGCCCGGCGCGCAAACAATGCACGTCTCGGAAGTCGGTGTGCTGGCATGCGTAACACGTGGTCCAACCATCGGAGTCTGGTGTGTGTGATATAATGGTGCTGAGCGGTCCACTCGCTCTTCCTGCACCAAATACGCGACGACGAACACGCTCATTGCTCACGCGGTGCTCCCACCAGACATGAGCTAAGCTGCGAAGGCAGCGATGATCGAACGTGACGAGTCTCTTCATGTCTGTCGACCTGATGGACCAGGTTTTACAACCATATAGGAGAGTTGAACGGACGGCTGCGTTATAAACTCTGCCCTTCAGGGCAAGAGTAATGTTGCGTCTGCGCCACAGGTGGCGGAGATTGGCAAAAGCACCTCGAGCTTTTGCTATACGGTTCGTAACCTCATCTTCAATCCCACGGGTGCTAATGTAGCTGCCCACGTACTTGAATTCCTGGACGACTTCTAGCAGATCACCACCAAGCGTTAGCGCAGGGTTGGGTCCCTGCAAATCTTGGAGAAGTACTTTGCATTTCGATGGAGCAAAGCATAGCCTAAAATGATTGACAGCCAGACCGGACGTAGCAGTTTAGTATTCATTCATTCAGTATACACGCTAGCTGCACGTAGAAAACACTTCAGCTACTGTGCCGCAGTACAAAAGAAAAGAAAAAAAAGTGAAACAGAGACATGCCGGCGGAGTCACCAGTAACGGGTGGGTATCGTTCCGAAGAGCTAACAGTCGGCTACTACGCAGCAAAAAGTCATGTAATGTTCATTAATTGAGATCGTGGTTGGAGGAAATGCTAAGCGGACGGGGATGGATAAAGGAACTCGCTACACAAACGCCAGTGAGGTCTGCTCCTAGCCATGTCAACAAGTGCATGACAACCAAAGGTGTTCATCATCCTTCGGTCCCCAACCATGGAGCCGAGAGGCTCCAACTGAGGTCAGCTTCGAAGTGAGGGCCTTCATTCCTCTCGACCAAGTCATCGCTTGGCCACCTCTCCTCTTCTTCCATCCGCACCGTCGGCGCGCAAACAACGCCGGTCGCGGAAGTCGGTGGGTTGGCATGCGCAACACATGGCCCAGCCATCAGAGCGTGGTTCGTGAAAAAACAGTGATGAGCGGTTTGCTTCTTCTTCCTGCGCCATAAACAAGACGTCGAACACGCTCATTGCTCATACGGTGTTCCCATTAGATATGAGCCAAACTGCGAAAGCAGCGATTTTCGAACGTAACTAGCCTCTTGGTGTCCGGTGATCTAAGGGGCGAGGTTTCACAACCGTACAGTAGGATCGAACGTACGGCTGTATTGTATACTCTACCTTCATAGTGATATCGCGTAGGCGCCATAGGTGGCGAAGGTTAGCAAAAGCGCCTCGAGCTTTTGCTATACGGTTTGTCACCTCGTCTTTAATTCCAACCGAGCTGATACAACTATCGGGGTAGTTGAGCTTTTGAACGACTTCTAGCTGATCCCCCCGAAGCGGGTCCGACACCAACCTTGGAGAAAGCTTTGCATTTGGAAAGTGCAAAGCATAGCCCGAAACGGGTGACAAGCAGTGCCAATCTGTCCAATGCCGCTTGGCACGTTTGGGAGCTGTCACAGCATACTCCAAGTCAAGAAGTCGTTCACCTGGGAGTAGCTCCACACCTAAGTCGTGTCCAGTGAACGCGATCTCAATGACTTCGCCAATAGCGTTGAAAAGACAAGGAGAGAGCGGACATCCTTGTCTTATACCGCTGGAGATATTGTAGGGTGGGGACACCTTGCCGTAAGCCTTCACTCTGACCGAGCTAAGCGCAAGTATGGTAAGACAACTATGGTCCGGGCACCGAAGTACGATGAATCCAGTCACTATGACTCACGCCATTAGTATAACAATCGGTAATAATGATGAAAAGTGGAGACAAGATGTGAGCAGAAGAGTGAAGAAATGCGTTAAGAAAAATTGAGCAAAATGAAATGAGGATATGGTAATAACGATTACATGCAAGAAACCGATTGCAGGAGCGCCAGTGAATGCACGACTGTTCCATAATCGATAGGATCTCCAACCACTGATGCGAACCCTCCCCAAGGTCCCTAGTAACGAATGAGGCACGCAGTAGCCAATTTCGTCATACATTTACGCCAAATCAACTATGGTGTCTAATGCATGCCGAGGAAGCCGATCAAGCAGCATACACGGAGAATATGAGATCAGGGGGGCCTTGCTAAACCAAGTAGTGGGCTTCAGTACTACGTATCCGGTACTCTCATCAGCTCTGAACAATACATCGCAAACACCAGTGATCAAATACGATAAATCGTTTAATTTCTTTAGTGTGAACTGATCAGGTCTCCTATCCTTAAAGTAACACCAGCCTTATCGCAATGTTATACATCCTACTAACGATCGGACGTCCCCATACATGGTTGTGCTTCCGAAAAGCTGCACCAGTCTTGCTGATACGCGAAATCACTCATTCAGTGATGTGATCTCCAGATGTGACACGTTTACCAAGGTAACTAAACCGATCCACCACATCCAGTGGCTGTACGGTGATAATGAGAGCCGATGGCTGCTCGGACCAGTCTTGCAAAAGTAAATTGTAGTTGGAAACTGCTAAACACATGGTGAAATGTGTAGCGCTACCATTCGACCTAGTTGGTAGCGCCAATACAGTCAATGGGTCCAACCTACGGAGTTACGCCGCCCATATATTCAGGGTTCTTCAGTTGGTTACGTGGCAGAACACCCGGTCTGGAAGTGGCTGTGAGGGCGGAGTAATTCAAGGCTATTCCGAGTACAAAGTTGAACAAGATGTGAGATGGTAGACAATTTTGACGCGGAAAACAATAAACAATAGGGTGTGAAAGAGGAAAATGCCAGTAAACATACTAGTGAGTTTGGTGCATGTTCGATGCATCCAAAGTTGACACGTATCACATTGTATCATTTGTTTGGCCGTAGGTAAGTAGGCCCGATCACATTCCGGACAAACGTCCCCACGTGCTTCCGCGAGTCCACAGGCGGCACACTTGCTGCAATCGGGAGACCATAAAACGGTCGATTCAGTGTCATCACTTGAATCAAGTGATTTTTTCAGTGGCTTGGCACCGCAGTGAACGCAGCTGGTGCAATGGGGACAAACCTAGGTTGGACAAGTCATTAAAAAGAAATGAGAACAAAGTGTATATCACCTAACTATGTTACAGAACAATTAATGGAGGAAGCAGGAGAAAAATGTCAGACGATAGGCGTCAAACATACCCAGTTGCCGCGCTGGCTGGATTGAGCAGGAGCGTAACTCGGTAGGCAAGTAGGATGGTAGCCACCGGAACAGCGCACGCACCGCAAGTCAGCAGCCGAACGACGGCACTGACGGCACTGCGTGCAATTGCGGCAAATGAAGTGATCCTTGCGTCGAGGTCTAAACTGGCGTTCCACACAGTAGAAATGGAATGGTTCAGCGCAAGATGCACAAAACAGGAGCTGTGTAATTGAAACGAGATAACAGAAGGAGCATGATGATTTAACTGGGTGAGTTCTAGTACGATCAAATGCCGTAAAGTGCATCTGATATAGTTGAATGATGGACAGTAACGGTGAGCCATCAAAAAGGGCCAAAAATAAAAGAAAAAAGCCTGGTGCCTAGGTAATAAAGCAGTTTGGCTGGTTTAAAGCGGGGATAAAAGTTAAAAAAGATCAGGAAAATCATTCATTCAACAAACCGATGTGTAAAACAAGCTTCTGAGATCGAAGAAAACAAATGCATAATATCACTGAATTTCCTTGACCTTAATTGGGTACACGAACTTGTATTTTATTGAACACATTTCTTTGCAGAAAAAAATTTGTTCCGGCAAATGTCCTACATCACGTCCTATATCAAGTAATTCGCACCAATCAGTATAAATCGGAATTCAAACCACAACTTAGTGACTCAGAGTTATAGTGTAGTAACGATGCGAGGCGACATACCATAGCAGAGGACTAGTTGTGAAATGAAGAAGCTTAGTCCCACCCATCTTATCCACCTTGGTGATCGCATAGAGAGCATCGGTATTCGGTGCATGTCTATACACACTTATTGAAGCGGAACACAAGCAGGAGCATAGATCTACACCGAGCGATGTCACAGCATTGTATTATGATGAATACAATTGAGTGCGAGGTAAACAACAGTAGAACTGGCCTAATGTGGGTGATTTCAATAACAGAGAAACGTGATACATTCGATCTCTTTTGTATTTCTTGGACTTCAGCTAGGGTAGAGCAGATGAATTTGACGCGCGCTATCTGGTCGTAGACGCTTCAGACAAATTCAAGTTGGAGACTACCTGATTATAATATGAATCAAGTAGAGTCATTTCGTCTCGATAGAAGGCATTCGCAGTAACCGTAGCGGCGAATCGCCACCACGCGAGCAGCAACAATCGCGCGCGCTAGGAACACGGTGAATTCGCCCGCACCCACGCAGCATCGTACCAATGACCTTTCGGATTATAAGGCAGACGACTAGCGTGTTTTGTTAAACTGGCCCGGAGCTACGAGCGGCTGCAATCAGGTGCCGACGTACAACCGGTACGCTGATTTGCTAACTGTCCAATGGCTCAAATTGCTTTGCCGTCAGGGGTGAGATGGTGACACAGAAGCCACATGTGTGCCTACGATCGCAGAGCACACCGAGCCGTTCGGCTGTGAGAAGTGAACGTTAGCCAGACACCACAGCCGCAATGAATGCGTCATGTCTCGACCGCATGGCAAGACCTAGGGAACGGACGCCGTTCAGCGGTGAGAACTGGACGTGAGCCGACTATGTGGTCATAGCCGCACTGAACGCGTCATGATTCCATCGATCGGTAGTCGGCCTTCATGCAGATGAAAAGCCGGCAAAAGGGTCTCCTGCGAACTGTGTCGCTGTGCTAGCAACTGAGAAAAACAGCCTGGCCGTATGTGATGACCGGCCGATGGGTGCCGTATTGACATCGCCACAAAAACGGTTATCGCCTCATGATTGGCTTCCAACAAACCCGTAAGCTTTAATTAGGCTGTTTTCACTGCTAAAGGGAATCATACTGCCAGGAGCACATTATAAGGTTACAGTGTTATTCGCTTTACCATTTCGATCGTGCGTGTGTGTGTTACAGCTGAAAATTCACTCTTCATGGGTGCATAAAAACGATTTCTTGACTTGACTTGACATGACAACGCCCTTAGATTTCAGTCTGCCCCGACGCAATGGTGGCACCATTAGACAGTACACCAATTTAGTCATGAATGCAACTATTGCCCTCACAGTCAGACAATTGCTAGTTGTACAAACTGATCAGGCCTTCGATGGTGTTTCTTGTGTACAATGGAGAATATACATTTGTTCATTTCTTTACTTATATTTACATGAAATGTGTGAAATGTTGGTAAACATCAACGAATTAGATGTTCAAATTGCCCACCGTCGTTTTGGCTACAGAGAAGCATTCGCCGAATGATGCTGGCGAGCACTTTCTGCAATGCCTCCAACAAAATCTGCCTGTATTCGTTCACAATGTTCTCTTTCAGTTCAACCAGGTTTTTGAGTTTCGTTCTAATAGCTCTGCGCCTCAAGTATCCCGATAAGAAAAACTCCATGGGATTCAGATTCGGTGATCGCGCAAACCATTCTATCGGTCTTCCGCGACCGATCCAACGTCCACCGAATGTTTCGTTCAGGTATGTGCGAATCGATTGGAACTAATGTGCAGGTGCGCCATCCTGCTACCACCAAACGCTATACATTAACCCTTCTGACTGTAGCTGCGGAATGACGCTGCTCTGCAACATTTCCATGTACGAGGATGCTAAGATATGTCAGACAGCGGTAATGTTGAATAACAACCTACTGGAGACACTCCTGGAAAAGAAAAAGGGCCCAATGATTTTTCGACCAGTCAACCCAGCCCAGGCCATGAGCTTGGCGCTAGGTTGCACACGCGTAGCGCGACATTGCTGTGGGTTGATCATTGCCCAAGCATGTTTCGTATCTTGACCATGCAGAATACACACCGCCTCATCGGTGAACAAAATGGGATGCACGTCCAGACTGTTTAAAACAAACCGGCACTTCAAACATCTAATTCGTTGATATTTACCAACATTTCACACATTTCATGTAAATATAAGTAAAGAAATGAACAAAGGTATATTCTCCATTGTACACAAGAAACACCATCGAAGGCCTGATCAATTTGTACAACTAGCAATTGTCTGACTGTGAGGGCAATAGTTGCATTCATGACTAAATTGGTGTACTGCCTAATGGTGCCACCATTGCGTCGGGGCAGATTGAAATCTAAGAGCGTTGTCACGTCAAGGCAAATCAAGAATTCGTTTTTATGCACCCATGAAGAGTGAATTTTCAGCTGTAACACACACACGATCGAAATGGTAAAGCGAACAACACTGTAACCTTATGATGATTCTCTTTAGCAGTGAAAACAGCCTAATTAAAGCTTACGGGTTTGTTGGAAGCCAATCATGAGGCGATAACCGTTTTTGGGGCGATGTCAATACGGCGCCCATCGGCCGGTCATCACATTCTGCCAGGCTGCTTTTTCAGCTGCTAGTATAGTGACCCACTAATCACTTCGCAGGGAACCCTTTGGTTGGCTTTTCACCTGCGTGAAGGCCGACTACCGATCGATGGAAGCATGACACGTTCAGTGCGGCTGTGATGTCTGGCTAACGTCCAGTTCTAACAGCTGAAGAGCTTGCGGTTCGTAGGTCATACCTTGCGGTTGAGACATGACGCATTCATTGCGGCTGTGGTGTCTGGCTAACGTTCACTTCTCACAGCCGAACGGCTCGGTGTGCTCTGCGATCGTAGGCACACATGTGGCGTCTGTGTCACCATCTCACCCCTGACGGCAAAGCAATTTGAGCCATTGGATAGTTAGCAAATCAGCGTACCGGTGTACGTCGGCACCTGAGTGCAACCGCTCCTAGCTCCGGACTAGATAACCAAAACACCCGGTAGCATCTTTGGCCAGTAGCAACTGAGTGATGCTTAAAAAACTTGAACTACTAAGCAGAGTAACCGGGCAATTCTGTTACAAATTGCGCCAACAAGACATCATGTACAGCAAGAGGCAAAAGCAACCTTTTATGTCTTACCAGTGTGAACAAGTTTTACGTGTGGACAACATCTAATGTTTGTCTGGTTCCGATAAACTTGAAATGACCAAACTGTGCATCGCAATCCATCTACACAAATACTTTCAAACAACCATTGAATAGAAAGCAGAGTATTGTAACCCAGCGGGATTCTGAAAACTAGGCTGACTTCACTCAATTGACCTGATATCAAAGAGTACATGTCGATTGAATAGGTCGGTGGCCTATGGGAACAAGGTGCTTGGAAGTCCTGAGTTGAACCCATCGATACGCATGTGCTTAGATTCGGGAATTCGGTGCCCTATCGGTTTTCTCTACGTAACTAGTTCTGCAGATATAGTAGAACTTCCGAAGTTGACCACCTCTCCAAGTTAACGGTTTTTCATAGCTTGAACGTTCACCATGTAAGGCTTATGGAACCGGATCGCTGTGTGTTGAACATCAATGTGTATTTTATGTCTAGCATTTGGGCCATAAACATCATTTTAATTTAATCTCTATAAGTTGACCATGTGAAATGGTCGCCGAACGATCGTGTGTTCAAATAAAAAGGTTAATGTAGCGGGATTTTGCAACGTGCGAAATTCTCCTGACTAACAAGCTTTGCATTTTACGGCTCGGCAGAGGTTTGATGATACAGTAAGTTCTCTATCTATGTATACGCGCGAGTACTTTTGTTCCGCCCCTTAGTGTTCACGCGCATCGGTGTTTACGTCGTGCACTGGGTCAACACAGATCACGTCCACAAATCGAGCTTGGCCATTTTGTATGTGAAATCTTTCTTAATACAAGCACACATCACGACCACACATTGCACAAGAAGCAATCAGGAGTTTGAGTGCCTACTTAACAGTCTATTAACCGGTTACAAGGTAACTTGTTCAACAACCGTTCATTAGCATCAGAAAGTGTTGGGAGATTGAGGTTTACGTCCATGCTAATCTTTGAGTGCATAAACCCACCCTATTCGTTATCTACCTAAAAGCAAAACAAATAAGGTTTGTTATTGCATGTAGTCAATGTTCTGTAAATAGTAGCATAGATCTTGCATTCGCTCCGTGCTTTGAACAATGTGGGATCGGTTATTACTCTTAGCATCACATTACTACGCGGAGGAAAGACGTGAGTTGACACTGAAGAAGATTAATCCGCTACATTTTACGGTAAGCAGCAACCAAAGGAAGATGGCAGAACATCTTGGTGTTAACAAGACAACAGTTGGAAGCATCCAACAGGATAATAACGAATACTTGGAGAGGTATAATAATGTGTTCGCAGTTATGTAAGAACTAATCTAAAACTTTCGAAATAGGAGGTGCTTGAAAAGAAATTTCATACTATGCTATTCACAATGGGGAAGTAAGGTAAGCTAAGCTTTTGTTCAGGTCCTCCATATTTTGATCAATTTGGTCCAGTCTCTTGAATTGTCAACTTACGGAGGTTGTACTGCATCTATAGCTGGTCTACGCAATAAAAGTCAGCTCTGATGCACTGGACTACTTTCATCGGTGGAAGTGGAAATTATTTGCTTCGTTTGATGCTAACATTGAACGCATAGAAAGTGGTCTGCATGGCATAGACCCAAAGCATAGTAATGCGTGTAGAAATGCCACTCAATGAAACGTCCTATTTAGTCAATGCGAACACCACTTTATCGGTCCTCTCATTTGGTTACACTTGTTGATGAATCGCAGAGTACAACCATCTCTCAACAGCGCTGCCATTAGCTGTTGATAGTCGGTCGGACCCAGTCGCTTCATACGGCTTAGAAGATCATCACAAGCATCGGTATGTGTAGCAATGGTGAAAAGCCAGTGAAGTGTATGGACGAGTTGGACGACGTCCCACATGTGGTTTGGAAACAAGCTGAGTAATGTCGCTAAGGAAGTAAAAATAGCGTCAATAAAAAGGTGTGCGCCAGCGTATCAGTACCAACGGGGATCACATGATCTACAAGATCAAGTGGTGGTTGTAATGAAGGCACGTAGGGAATCAACAGCGGAAACATAAAGCATGAATTAT